CACCTAAACAACGAATCGCTAGCTTCTCACAAATGATTACATGGTTTCCAGCAGTCACCTTCATATCTGGGGCTTTTAAAAATAGCTTAGACTTACGTCACCAGAGGAAGCCATGCTGACACTAACTGGATGGTGCTTCACAAGCCCAATTTCACTTTCAGGGAAGACCTTGTAGCTTTTTTACTCAAGACTTTGCACCTCATAGATGATGTCACAGAAAATTCAGATTAGATGAATAATATGATATTCTGAGCATGCCCAAGAGGCATCTTTAAGCTTGAAGTGAGCACATATGTAAAAGTACCAGACTCTAGCAGTATACCATGTATTAGGACACCAAAAAGCTTTTATATATATAAGTGAAAATCGGATATTTTCTCCACAGAGGATTTTTCTTTCTTCTTTTCACTGCATGATGTATTCAAGATGAGCTACAGCCATCAAAAGTTAAAAAAAGTAAATCAATTAACTCTGCCTTGTGGGCAAATGTTGCATAGAAGCTATTTTTCAAAAGGGTTTGAAGCGATAATCACCTGGAGCACCTTAATAAATCCCCTTATTGTTTTTAATGTCCATAATCATGACTCTCCATGTGGGTAAGCAGCTTTTATCAGTTTTATTTAGTTTGTTACAGACTTTCTAAATAGTTGTTTTCTTATGCGTTTGTGTTGGATGTCAGAGCAAGATAATCTTCAAGTAACAACAACGGACTGCTCTACATTGGACTCTTTTCCTCAGATTAACTTCCTTTCGCAGCTTCCTACTCATTATTTTCTCCCCCTTCATTGCCTCTGTGAGTGGCTTAAATTTGCACATTCCCTCCTGCTTCTCCCTCTCTGTCTCTATCCTTTCCTGCACTGTTTCACCCTTTAACTCTCCTTTGTTTCTGCTCTGTTGTGTAGCCTCTGTCTGCTTGACAGGCTGTGGTAACACCGTTGACATTTCCACAGCATGGCTGCTGAAACACAGCTTCAGCACCTTTCCTGCCTCAGCCTTTCCTCCTCTCTCTCCACCATGACTTCCCTTGTGCTGTTAGGTAAAGAGAAGCAGAAATTAGCCCCAGACCTTGTGGAGGTGATTGGTTTCAAATTGCAGTGAAAATGGAATTGCCAATAGACCTACGGCCTTCTGCCTCTTTTTCCTCCAAGGTAAAGTAAATGTACACTCCTAAGTCTGACCTATGGATGGTTGATCCCCTTCTAGGTAAACTGAGTGTCCATAGGTCAGTCTTAGAAGTGTAAAGAAGGATGGGAAGTGTTAGTGATTCCCTGTCTGGGGTTGTGGGAGAAAGAATTGTGAAAAAGGAAGCTGTTTAGATTGAGTTTATTTTTCAGTGTTTTTGTTTGTCTTTTTTATTTCCTAAAGGTTCCGCCCGTCTTATCATACCTCACCTTCTTTCCTGAGTTAGTGGCACATTCACTCCCGCTCCGAGCTGGTTCTCCGGCCGTTAGCCTCTGTTTTCCTAACTCGTACAGGACGAGCCCCTAGGTTTGTTATTGTAGGCTTTGCTGAACATGAGCCGGTCTTTACAACGGATTGAAAGCATTTGCTTCCAATGAAAATCTGGTCTTAGATTACAGGGCCCCGACTCGGCTCACCCGTCTTTTTCCAGCAGGCAGCTGGAAAGGGAGGCGAAGGGGAGGGTGTATTTCTTTTACCCTGAAACAGTAGGAAGAAAAAGCTGAACTTACTCACTGGGCTCAGACGGTGCTTGTCCTAGGCTAATGATGTAACTGAAGCTTGCAATGTGAGTGTGTTTCCAGGACACAGAGAGGTTCAGAAGCTGTATAATGCGCTCAATGTGTGCTTGCTTGTGGAGCACAGGGCTGAAAAGTCTTGTTAATCAATTAATGGATCAGTTGCTGAACAACTGTAATTGATTGTTAAATAAATGAAAAAAACGTTTTCTTTTAGGCATGGGTCGGTATAAGTTTCTCAAGCTACGTTAACCTTGAAAAAGATAAAATAAAACACATAAAGAATAGTATTTTAGCACAAAAACATAAAGTAAAACCTGATTTAATTAGACTGTAGTTAACAACCCCCTGAGCAATACATTGGATTTTAACATTGAAGTTACAACGAGACCTCATTTAGGCATGAGTCAACCTTGTTATGTATAAAACTAATTTAGACCTATATTATCTTGGTCTAGATTCTGGACCAAGCAAAACTATTATCAAAGTATTTAAATCTTGCTTGTGTTTTTCTTATAAAATCACCAAGTTCATGACGAAAAACAAACAAAAAAACAGTAGTAATAAAGTAGAAATTAAAGACATTTTCATTCAGTTATGTAGAAATACTATTTATTATTTCCTTAAATGTGATAAAGTGCTACTAATATAAAAATTTGGTATAGAACTGAACTTTTTTTCAAAATGAAACTAAATTAAGACAACAGCCCTAATGTGATGACACAAGTACCAGGTTGTTCTGTACTTATGGATGTAAACAAAACTCTTGCAGGCTGTTGCACCTGATTGCTGTTCTGCAATTTTTTGGAGTAACATAAGTAAAACAAAGTGATATTAGCTGTTTTTTAGTCAGACTCCATTTTACCTTATCTTTATGATTGTTCTGGTTCTTAAAGTTCAAAATAAGAACTTATTTAAGAACTGAAATTTTTGTAAACAGCCCAGTGGTCTTTCTTGAATTGAAACACTTTAAATGGTCAGGGACTATGAACCAAAACATGGTGTACATGAACACTTATGACCCTCCTATTCATAACTTTACAGTATCTTTATCTCAGTATCAGTATCTCAAATAGTCAGCTGTATACATGTGCTGTGCCATCTGATTAGCAGTGTGCAGCCATATGTGGGTGGAGCAGTGCTTCCAGAGAAGCATTTCATGCATCCTCTTAAAATAATTGAAAATCATAGGAGTGTTTTTTCCTGTGAATTCTAAACAGTACTTTTATAAAATCCATATAATCCCTGGCTTTTTATAAGCCTGACTCCTTCATTCTAGTTTCTACTGTATGTGGTATATTTATGTATATTTACATTTAAAAAAGTATACCTGTTTTAATTGGAATCAAGTTTTAACATTTGGAAAACTACATTTTCTAGTCCTCTCATTACGTTAATCAGACATTAAAATCCTTAAATGTGACGAATATATTAAGTATCAATCCTAAAAAGTCATTTTGCCAATGTATATTTATTCAAATCATTAAATAGTGAATAGAGAGAAAACAAACAAACAAACTGGCAAACGAAACGGCAGGATTGTAAATGTTTGAACGTGCTGGGCTCCTTTATTCATTATGTTACATTAGTTCGAGCCAACCACAAGCTTGATCTTCATATGTGCATTATCAGTTCTCAGTATGTGGTGTTTGCATCAGTGCTCTGACATCAATGCCAAAGCAGCTCTTGTTTTATCCTACCTCCACCCTCCACCCCCCTTGCCGTCACCTCCACTTCCACATGAGGTTCATTAAAAAGCCTTTAATATGTGCGCATATGTATCTCCTTCTGCCAGCACAGTCGGAGTGAGAGGGAGAGCTGGCCATGTGTGTTGTTTCGTTTGGTTTGTTGAGAGGCTCTCTCTCCTAATGGCGTGTATAATTCAGGTGCCCTCCAGGCATGCTTTCAGGAATTCTTTTGCCTGAGGTAATGGGGAGCAAAGGCCTGGGTTTTAGGCCCTTGATTATTCCATTGATGTGGCAGGCTGGAAAAAAGTCATCTCCAACCGGATTAGCGCCAACATCGCCATTAATTATCAATGAACCTGGTCTCAGGGTTTAGCCAAGGTGCTGGTGTCTTCCTCTGAAATTTAGTGGGGCGGCCCTGCGTCAGTGCAGCTCTCAACTCTTGCCACAGTGAATAAACCACGATGCTTTAGAAGTGCTTAGCGTGTAATCAATAAATAACAGAATCCAATTTGGTGCACTGCTTTGGCAGTTTTTATATTTTCTTTCCCCCCCTCTCACTTCCTCACACTTCAAGGCAGGGGAGGCATTGCGGGATAAAAGTCTGGTTATTTGGTGCTGGAATATCCAGGCGTGAGGGTGCCACTTGTTTACTTCGCCTCATGTTTCTTTAATGATTATCATCTTCATTCAGGGTGCCTGGCGTTTTTGAATAATGATAATAACAATTACGCTTTTCATCACAGATGGGAAGAGCCACTTTCTCTCCATTCGAGCTGTATGGAATCCGTACAGTAATTGGGTGCCTCTGAATATGTGTGCATCTGTGTTCAAGAGTTAATGTTGTGGATCCTGAATGCAGAGAAAAGGGCCCGTGGAGCACTTTCTTTTCACATTGGCTTTTAACGCTCAGATACTCAAAGCTGTCTCACTGTAGCCCCCTTAGGTGAGGTTAACTGGCCTTAATAGAGTCTTATCAAAGCCCTACAGGTTGCTGTAAGCAGCCATGATGCTATTGTTATGAAAAGCAGCTAGCTTTGTTAGCAGTGTTTGTGCCTCCGACTGTTTTTTTTCCATCTCTTTTCCTTTTATTTTGTGTCTCCCCGTCCGTGCAACCTTGCCTTTTGTAGTGCCGTGTTACTCTTTCCACCTCAGGTAAAATGGCAGAATGCGCTGGGGCGACGCTTCAATAACAATTTTCCCCTCAGGATAATAAAGACTAAATCTCTCTGTCATTTTCAATTCTGCACGGGCTTGGATGGGAGAGTGGGGAAATGCGACCTTACAAGTCCTTTGTGCTTCCCCTTCTTTCCTCTCTTTCTCACAGAGGGATGCAAGTGCTTACTGTGTTTTCAGTGACGGCAGGAGAAAAATGAAAGGCAGGGTTATTTATAAATGTATTAAAAATGAATGCATTTATGAGGTGCTGATTCCCCTCCATTCTCTGCTCGCTATTGTCGAGGCTCCATACCCATCCGTCTGTGCCGACAAAGCCCTCCAGAATTCCTTTTCGAGATCACATTTATTCCCTTTGAACGTTCGGCAAAGCATTTGCAGGAAGTAAACAAACCCTGTGTCTGATCGGAGCTGTCTCTTCCTGTTTCTCGTCATGTGACAGGTGATGGCCTGGACAACAGCGTTGCTTCGCCGAGCACAGGGGATGATGATGACCCGGATAAAGAGAAGAAACACAACAAGAAAAGGGGGATTTTTCCTAAGGTGGCCACCAACATCATGAGAGCGTGGCTCTTCCAACACCTAACAGTGAGTTAAGCCAAACAATATTTGTATTATATCACATGTGATCCTTATTTCACTGCAAAGAGCTGTCTTTCTCTCACTCTGGTCTTCTAGTATTTGGCACACTTTTGCACACCTGAAACACACTTAGAGAAACACACACTCACTGTCCAACACTGAACCGCATTTTGATGCACTTCTCCAATGCGTAGCTCAGTTTGTAGGGCGAGCACTTCAAAGACGGAGTCCCGTGTAATCTTTGAGAGATCTCTGATCATCAACTGAAACAGAATGAGGCTTAAGCTGAGGAGAGACACCCCAGGCAGTTTGTGCAGATAGACTGAAGTACCTAGTTATAATACTTTACAAATGCAAGAGATGCTGCAAAGAACAGTGGCTTGGTTTTGCTTCCCCCTCACTTACAAATCCAGTCATCATCGTAGACTAGCAAGGATAGTTTGATGGAAATATATCCGTTTTTGGGCCTCATAATTCGACTTTAGTTCAGAGGGATATATATATAAATGATCAAAACAACCTCTTGTTAACCAGTCTTACTAATCTTGCAGTTAATCATACTCTATTATGTTATTTTATCTAGAAATGGACCTGTCAGAATTTTGCGGGTTTCAGATCACAGCTTTTGTAACAGCTATCGTTAATAAAGCAGCCCTGTTTGTTTGTATACCCTAAAGTAGATCCTTATACTAGTTCAAGGATTACAAAAGGCTCCAATAACGTCCAAATCCAGTGTGTACCATGACAGACTAATGTGGAAATCTCAAAAGTGTAAAATGGGCTGTACTAGACTAAGCCTTCCTGTTGTCAGATTAATAGTTTACTCTCTCTTGCTCCCTAACAACATCAGTTTGAAGATTCTTCTTGTGCTATTATAGAAAAACAGAGTTTATCTGTTCTACATTGTCTCGAATTGTTGGGCCCATCTCCGTTTCATTGGATTGTTGGTCGTGGCATGATTGATTCCTGCCAGACAGAAGTCACACTACAATACAGTCTAAAAGTAAATTTTTTAAATGCATAATTGTGGCCACAGAATAATTACTTTATGGAGAGATGTAATGCAAACATACAAAACTACCTTATATTATAGCTTATACAGTCATCTGTTTAGGTAGGAGTGCGTATGTGTGATGCACTTCCCTTGGAATATTTTTCTTCTAACACTTTCTGAAAATGGACTTAAAGTGTTTTAAATAAGAACTTCAGTAAATTGTATTGCCTCTGAAGCAGTAACTACCTATGCGTGGGTCTAAGGAGTCAGAATAAAATACAGATTGGACTAAAAATATGTCAACAAAACGTGTCATTTGGAATTTTCTGATCAAATTCAGCAGGATTGGAATAATATTGTTATCCGACTATGGGTTGGTTTATTAACAATCCGATCAAGAGCCATGAAAACACTATTCAGGATCTAGTTATTCTGAGTGATGCGAGTTGACCTGGGTGCGCATATTGACCCTGCGTCAACGTAATGTATTTCCACTTTGAGTGGCTAAGTGCTCTGGCTACCTATTATCAGAATATTCCAAATTCGAATTTTACTAGCCATTTAGTTCAATCAGCCATTTTATTCCTATTACTTATGTCCATATAAATAATTTTTTCAATCTGATTTTGGAATTCTGTTTATGTATACATACTGTAGCTCATGATATTGAAGCAGTACTGTAATAGTTTAAGCCAGAACTTGCCTTTTAAATGCTTCAGACTTAACTATTTCTCTGATTGCTTTTCCATTTTTATATACTGTAGCCTATCAAGATATTTGAAACATAAAACTTTATAGCAACTCAAATAAAATTTGTTAAAAACTCTTAAAATAATAAATCCATCCTTAATGCCTCTTCAGAAAGGATTGAAGGGAAATATAATCCAGTGTTTACCAAATCTTTCAATTGAGATGAAGGCAATTTGTGCTGGAGTTCAAAGTTTAGTTTAAATCAAAGAGAGGAGTTGGAAACTGTTTGCTTTTTTCCCCTTTACAAGCTTATTAACATTTCCTCTAAGAGCGCTTCCAAGTAAAGATGTTTTAAAAGTACTTTCCGAACCCTGCGTCACTTGCATTCTGCTGATGTCAGGAGTTGTGGAGAACATGATACAGTTTGGCTGAGTGGCTCTTGGTTTGGATAGAACAAGCCAAAAGGGAGGATGCTGTGGATTGTGGATATTGCATGGGCTTAACTTTTTATTTATTTATTTGTGGCCAGACTTTGATGTCAGTGGGATGCATTGTGCAGTGTATGCCTCGGCTCCGTGGAATTAATGGCAAAGAGCAAGTTATTTATTTTTTATTTTTTCTCATATGTACACACTGGCATGTAGTTTGTAATCAAACTTAGATTTTTTTTGGACGAAAATTTCTTGCACTTTTCAGCCTTCTGCTCTGCCTTTTCACTCGTTTTCTCCCTGACCTCTAATCACACCTTAAACCCTTTAGGGTCAAACAGGAAAGGTTTTTTTCAGCACACACATCCTCTTTTCAAACACAGCCCAGCATATACACAAGCATAACACACCTTCTGTGTCATATTACAGCCCTACATCAGGCTTATGAGGGGTTTCTTCATACTTAGATTTCAAACAGTTGGTTGGATATGGGCTCGAAGAGGTGAAGAGTGGGATAAGGAGGGATCCATTTAGCTCTCCTTCTCACAGGCGAAAAAGTGAGAGTGGAACCAAGCCACGCAGATATGCTGGCAAACAATGGATATAATGGGTAGCTGCTATATGGCGCAGCAATAGAAGAATTTTACTTGGTTGGTTTTGGTTCAAATTCTCTTTTTGGGAGGAGTGAAAACTTTCAGTTGAGATCAATTGAGCAACATCTCTAAACAATCCCTCTTTTGTGGCAGAAGAATCATTTCCCTGAAGTTTTCATTGCAAGCCTTCATTTATGATTTATACTTTATCCTTTTAAGTCGATCAGTTTTATAGTGAATTTTAAATAGAAAGCTATAACTCTCAGTTTTCATTGAGTATGGTTCATTTAGTCTCTGGACTGCAGGCTGGAGGAATAATGGCAGATCTCTTACACTCAGTGGAAGAGAAGTGAAGCAAATGGTGGGATCATGGGGTTACCAAGTCTCCTTAGCAACCATTGTAGGAGTGTTGCTAGAAAAGAAAAAGGATGTCCAGCTTTCATAAAGGTAAATATGTGGAGTTTGAGAAATTCTGCTCAGAATTTAGTTTGAACTGTGTGGTTTAATAGGATGAGCTACAGATTATCATACCGATTGGTTTAAACTTGTATAAAAGAAAACAATTCCAACTGTTAAGTAAGGTGGAGGATGTGTGATGCTTTGGGCCCAGTTTCTCTTTGAAAGTTTCTGGCAAACCTGATAGGGTGAGCTTCGTAATAGAGAGCGTAAAGGGGAAGTTGTGAGATTGGATTAAAGCACTTTTTTTTTGTATACTGAATTTTATTATTATTATTTTTGTATAGGCTAGGGTTTAAAAGTGCTTCAGTTTGAGATGATTCAATTAAAGATTTATGTTATTTTTCTTGCCTACATTTACTAGGGCTGGTTAGCATTGCAGCAGCAGACCGGTCTCATTTGTCCACACAATTATATGCTACCATCATTTCAATTATTCATTAGTTTGATTAATAATGCCAACTTACCGAAGAAAAACATTTTGTATAGGTGCATTATGTTAGCAGAAGCATTACTATTTCAGAACCAGAGTCAGTTTTTCTTTCAGTTGATTTTTTTATTTTTTGGGGGGTATTTCTGTTTGACACCATTTCAGTAACAGAATAGGCAGAAAAACAGCTAAAACTTCAGAACAAGTTATGCTTCCAAACTTCAGTGTATTATATGTTAGTCGCCCTCACAATTGGTTCCTCAGGGGAGTTCCCATTGTATCGAGGCGGAAAGGGAAGGTGGGTGGCAAAATGGGGCTATGAGTGCACCAGCAGGGTAAGAGGTAGGTAGCATTTATATATCCATTCATTTACTGTTGTGTTGAAGTCATTGCTGTGCTCACTTCACCCATCATATGTGCTTATCTCATCTACTACTGTACCGGGCAAAGGTAGAAATACTCCAGAAACACAGAAGGAAAAAACTGGTTATCTGAGCATTCGAAGCTGCTGTACTTTTGGGCAGCTGCAGGTTTCACTGGGAGAGAAGAGAGCTTTATTCGAGAGTCAGGGCAGCAGTATTGAATTTGTGATGATGACAACGTTTGCAACTCAGAGTTCTCTCCAACACACCCAATGAGCTCATGTGCTATCGGCAATGCTTATGGGACGAGTTCAGTGCAAGAATTTGGCTGTGCTGGCTTGGAGCGACTACAAAACATTAACATTAACGGCCTGTAATGATGGCCAAAGCAAGCAGCCTGCTGCCAGCTTGACATGCAGCCTCAAACTGCATAAGGGACCAAGATAAAAAGATTTCCCTATTACATTGTGCTACTTGTTTGTATTTGACCTCATCATATACCGGTTTTGGGTTTAGTGATCGTGAAAGCACACCTGATCAGAAAAATTGTCTTTATTGTGGTCCAGAGGATCCAAAAAGGAAGTGCTTTATCAGATGTTGGTGGTAACTCTGGGCTTATTTAACTCCTATCTTTATATTTACAACCTAGAGAGCAAATCTTTAGATAAAGGAGCAGCTCTATTATCCCCCTTTGCACAATCTTTTCCCACTGTGCAGTCTCATTCTATCCGCCCCACCTAAGCTTCACCCTCCCCTCCACAAAAATGGTATTTTCTTGTTTAATTTAACAAGAAATGAGTAGTAAATGAAAGCTCAGGCCTCAAATCCCCAACGCGCCCTGTGCTCTGCTCTCCACTCCCCTATGAAAAGGCAATTTGTGAAATTATGTGATAGAGTAATTAGATGGAATTCACCCCCGCCTGTGTGCTGCACACACAGACCATATTCCCATTTAGATTGCTGCCTCACATCAGGCTCATGAGGTGTGTGCGTTTCAAAGAGTGTGTGTAGCAGTAAGTTGGGCATTTGAAGTGTCAGCATTGGTGTATTCGC